CTGACTGCACTCATAAGGCCTTTCTCCGGTGTGCATTCTCTGATGAGAACGGAGGTTATCCTTACTGGTAAAAGATTTCCCACACTGACTGCACTCATAAGGCCTTTCTCCGGTGTGCATTCTCTGATGAGAACGGAGGCTACCCTTACTGGTAAAAGATTTCCCACACTGACTGCACTTATAAGGCCTTTCTCCAGTGTGAAGACTCTGATGACAACGGAGGCTCCTCCTACTTGTAAAAGATTTCCCACACTGACTGCACTCGTAAGGCCTTTCTCCGGTGTGCATTCTCTGATGACGACTGAAGCTCCTCCTATGGGTAAAAGATTTCCCACACTGACTGCACTCATAAGGCCTTTCTCCAGTGTGAATTCTCTGATGACAATGGAGGTTACTCTTACAGGTAAAAGATTTTCCACACTGACTGCACTCATAAGGCCTTTCTCCAGTGTGAAATTTCTGATGATAACTCAACTCACAGCTCCTGACAAAAGATTTCCCACATTCACTGCACTCATAAAGCCTTTCTCCAGTGTGAATTCTCTGGTGACAATGGAGCATAGTCTTACTGGTAAAAGATTTACCACACTGACTGCACTCATAAGGCCTTTCTCCAGTGTGAAGTCTGTGATGATAACTGAGGCCTATCCGAGTGGTAAAAGATTCCCCACACAGACTGCACTTATAAGCTCTTTCTCCAGTGTGACATTTCTGATGATAACTCAGCTGATCGATCTTGACAAAAGATTTCCCACATTCATTGCACTTATAAGGCTTTTCCCCAGTGTGAAGTCTCTGATGATAACGGAGGCCTACACTAGTGGTTAAAGATTTCCCACACTGAATGCACTCATAAGACCTTTCTCCAGTGTGAAGTTTCTGATGATAACGAAGAGCAGAGATTCTGGTATAATGTTTTCCACATTCACCACACTCATATGGCTTTTCTCCAGTGTGAACTTTCTGGTGTTGAATGAGGTTTGAACTTTGTCTAAAGGATTTCCCACAGTCAACACATTCATATGGCCTTTCTCCAGTGTGAACTCTCTGGTGTTCCACGAGCTTTGAACGGGGGCTAAAGAATTTCCCACATTCGCCACACTCATGACGCTTTTCTTTAGAATGAACTCGCTGGTGACGAATAAGGGTGGATTGTTGTTTATAGCATTTCCCACATTCACTGCACTCGTATGGACTTTCTCCTGTGTGCAATTTCTGATGATACTGGAGATCAGAGATTTTTGTAAAAGATTTTTCACATTCACGGCACACAAAACACTGTAGTCCATTACAGACACCATGGTCCTGAGCAAGCGTCTGGTTGCAGCCAATGGCTTTCTGGCTGAAATGAAACTGCTTTGCACATGCCCCACACCTCAATAGTTTCAGGCTGTGTTGTGTTCCCTGCTGCTCAACCAAGTGGAAAATGTCTCTCAGGACTGGCCCACAACACTCACAGGGGTGGCTCTTCTGGGAGGACACAGCTCCATTGGGGTTCTTTGCCTGTGACACTGTCCCAGAAACATGCTGTTCAGTAGGTGCCTCCACATCCTCTGCTCCACAGCAGCAACCTAGAGAGGATATGAGTTCAAAGTTCTCCAGCATCACTTCGAGGAACAGGTGTCTCTGAGCCTCATCAAGGAGGCACCATTCCTCCTTAGAGAAGTGCACAGCAACATCCTCAAAAGTAACACGAACATCAGCTGGGGGCCTCTGTGGGTTGAACATGGTGAGGATGGCAGGAGAGGAGGCTGCCAGGGGCACAGTGGTCACTGTTCCAGGCGCAGAACTCGTCACCAGGGAGGCTGGTTGGTGGGGACCAGGACTCTTGCGCCTTCTCATTTTCGCATCTCCATCCAAGACCTAGTGCTCAGGATGCTCTGACCCACTTAGGTGATCCTGAGAGAAGAGGAAATTCCCATCACAAGGAGAAAACTGGAAGTCAACTATTGACTTTATTAATACCTAGGCATATGCACTTGACAGGAGTCAAACCTAGGATCCTTCAGTTCACAGGCCAACACTCTTTCACTGACCCAACTAGCTAGGGGCAATTGTTGACTTTAAAAAGGGCAAACAACTGCCCTAACTGGTTTGGCTCAGTGGATAGAGCATTGGTCTGCAGCCTGAAGGGTTCCAGGCTCGATTCTAGTTAAGGGCATATTCCGTGGTTTTGGGCACATCCCCAGCAGGGTGTGTTCCAGAGGCAGCTGATTGATGTTTCTCTCTCATCAATGTTTCTAACTCTCTATCCCACTCTCTTCCTCTGTAAAAAAATCAATAAAATGTATTTTTTTTAAAAAAGGGCAAACAACTGCACTGCAAAGCACTTGTATGAGCAAGCGTAGCGTAAAAAGAGTCAGTTCATCCATGTCCTAAAGTACACTTGTTGCCTGGGTTTTGAAGTAATTTGGATGAGATAAACAAAGTCATGTGTTTGGGCAAAGAAATACAAGAGAATTGCTATTGATTTCAGATGAAACGGTGTCTGGAGAAGATGGACCTTCTCACAAAAGTAACTACAGAGAGACATAAAATTAGTTTGAGAGAAACATATTTTTTTCTAGGATAAAAGTTTTTGAAATGGATAAAAAAGAAGCAGTAACAAAAAAGGCATTCATAACATTAAAGAAACACTAACTGTAAGGGAAAACCACCAAAGTAAAAATGAAAATTAAATATATCATGTTTAGCTAAAAGTAAAAATCTGAAATTGATGAGTTCAACAGTGGCCAGAATTGGCAGATCTCAGGAAGGCCCATGGATCCACATGTCCCCATTTCCTCTGGCTCTTAGTGCAACATCTGTCAGCTGTCAGAGCACTGGCTCACTCCAAAAGACTTCCCCGAGCCTCAGCGACAGATGAAGAGAAACCGTTACCATGGCAATGGAGATAATTTTGTGACAACACAAAGTCCTATCCTACCTAGAGAAGCTAAGACTCTGAGAGAATTCTTGCTCTAGATGTCCCCCATCTCCAGAGCAGAGAGACCTATACGAACCATGACATAATTGAAGGGGTTTTTTCCTCACATACCTTCCCACATTTATTGTCAACAGCCTCCTTCCAAATGTATACTTATTGTCTGCACAAAATGGTAGTGCTTAACACTACGGTGTCAGGTGAATTTCCGCCAAAATAAAAGATGGTGCGTTAAAATGCCTATATCTTTTGAAGTATGGGTTCGATTGAAATGAAATATTTGGTAATACGCAGTTACAATCGGCCCGAGTTTACACGTTTCCCGCACTCCACCACAAATCTATATGAACCGAGTTTAAGACGGCTCCCGCGGAGTACGCGCAATTCACGCGAGCCGACTTAACTCGTTTCCCGCAACCCAAGTGTTTTAATATGGAAAGTAAAACTCTGGAAACTTAATTTTGAAAAAATATACTAAGGGATAGGTACATGGGAACACCCATTGGCACATCCTCAACAGGAAGAGAAAGAACTTCAGCCGAAACCGGTATGGCTCAGTGGATAGAGCGTTGGCCTGCGGACTCAAGGGTCCCAGGTTCGATTCCGGTCAAGGGCATGTACCTGGGTTGCGGGCACATCCCCAGTGGGGGATGTGCAGGAGGCGGCTGATCGATGTTTCTCTCTCATTGAAGTTTCTGACTCTCTATGTCTCTCCCTTCCTCTCTGTAAAAAATCAATAAAATATATTTTAAAAAAAAATCTTAAAAAAAAAAAAACTTCAGAGGGAAGGGGAAAGGTAAGGGTAAGAGTAAAGGGAAGGGGAAGGGGAAGGGATATTGATGTGAGAGAGAAATATTGATTGGTTGCCCTCTGTACACACCCCATCCGGGGATTGAACCCACAGACTACTTTTGGTGCACAGGATGACACTCTAACCCAGCAGTCGCCAACCTTTCTGACCTCACGGACCACCAGTAGTCCATGGACCACTGGTTGGCAACTGCTGCTCTACCCAGTTGAGCCACCTGGACAGGGCCTACAGTATAATGTTAATAAAAAGAATACACTTTTCACTTTGAAATAATTCAAGGTACACAAGACATTGCAAAAATAGTATAGAGAGTTCCCTGGGCGTTTATACAGTTTCTCCAGAGGTGATCATTCCCACCATCAGGAAGCACGCTAGTTCCATCACCAACAAGAAATTCCGGAGGAGAAACCAAGATGTCAGCATATGTAAACACCGGAAATTGCTGCTTCATGTAGCCACTTCAAAAATACAACTAAAAGATAAAGCGGATATCATCCAGAACCTCAGGAAGGCTGGCTTAGTAGAAATTCTAGAACTGGAATGAAAGAGTAAAGCACACTGAGACTCAGAGGAGGTGTGGAAGTAAAGTGCAGAGGTACTGAGGCACACGCAGAAAGGGCTGGCAGCTGAGGACACGGTTGTCTTTTCAATTGGGAGGGAGTCTCAAGCTCCTGACTGCTCTGGACTGCAGTTCTGGGTGAGTCTCAGGGGACCCAGACTCAATACGGGGAGAAACTGGACAGTCTGGCACCGGGCAGAACTTGAGGGCGACTTCCTCTCAGAGGTGCTTGCAGCGATTACCTGGACACTGAGACATGGGGCCTCTTAGGGTAGGACGGGGGAGTAGCCATAGCTGCTTGCTCCGCCCTGTTGATCCCGAGACCCAACGCCACCCAAGCTGTTGCAGAGGCTTCTGCATATGAAAGGCCTGGCCCTTTGCAATCTGAAAATTACTTAACAAACTGCAGCTGAATCAGAGCAACCCAGAACATCCAAAAGGCCCAATGCCCCATAGCAGCTTGCACTGCTTCACAGCTGGGCCTCATCTGGGCACCTTCAAACCCAAACAAAGAAGAGTAATCTCTCCATATGTCCTGCTGGGTAGCCTCAGGTAGAGGGTAGATTAGCACCTCCTTAGGGATCCAAGAGCCAGTGTACCCAGTGGTCAGCGTGGAACCATCCAGATTGTGGCTCCTCAGATCCATGGGGGACACATTCAGGGGGCAGACTCAGTGAGCACCAGGGCCCCACTGAGGCGGGTTCTGCCCCAGAGGGGTGTCTCCAGCTCCGGGGTTCTCCCACTGCAGACAGGGCTGATTCTCGTAGCCAATTGGCCTGGGGGTCAGTTACTCAAAGTGATGCCTGCAACAGTCAAGGCTTGACTACAACAAGACTGTGCACAAAGCCAAAAAGGGGTACACCAAGGGTGTCCTCCTCTGGTAATTGGGGAGGCTGAGCCACTGGGCCCTTTAGGACACCTAGCACACAAAGCCACTCTACCAACACAGGGAAGCATAAAAAATGCGGAGACAAAGAAACAGGTCACAAATGACAGAAATGGAGGAAAACAAAATCCTGGATATAGAGTTCAAAACCACACGTTTAAGGTTTTTCAAGAATTATCTAGAAACCACCAATAAATTTAGTGAGACCCTAAGGAAATCTAGAGAGATCCTCCAGGTTATGAAAAATAATCAACTAAAAATTAAGCATACACTGACTGAAATAAAGGATATTATGCAGAGTTCCAAGAGCATACTAGAAGATCACAAGAATCAAGTCAAAGATTTGAAATACAAAGAAGCAAAAAACACCCAACCAGAAAAGCAAAATGAAAAAAGAATTCAAAACTACAAAGATGGCAAAAGGAGCATCTGGGACAACTTTAAGTGCACCAGCATCCGAATTATAGGGGTGCCAGAAGAAGAGAGAGAGCGAGATATCAAAAACCTATTTGAAGAAATAATGACAGAAAACTTCCCCTACCTGGTGAAAGAAATAGACTTACAAGTCCAGGAAGCGCAGAGAACCCCAAACAAAAGGAATCCAAAGAGGACCACACCAAGAAACATCATAATTAAAATAACAAGAGCAAAAAAACAAAGAGAGAATCTTAAAAGCAGCAAGAGAAAGAAAGTCAGTTACCTCCAAGGGAGTACCCATAGGACTGTCAGCTGATTTCTCAACAGAGACTATGCAGGCCAGAAGGGAGTGGCAGGAAATTTTCAAAGTGATGAATGCCAAGAACCTACAACCAAGATTACTTTACCCAGCAAAGCTATCATTCAGAATTGAAGGTCCGATAAAGACCTTCACAGATAAGGCAAAGCTAAAGGAGTTCATCACCACCAAACCAGTATTATATGAGATGCTGAAAGGTATCCTTTTAGAAGAGGAAAAAAAAGGTAAAGATACAAATTATGACCAACAAATACATATCTATCAAGAAGTGAATCTAAAAATTAAGTGAATAAATAATCTGATGAACAAAATAAACTGGTGAATATAATAGAATCAGGGGCATAGAAAAGGAGTGCACTGACTATTCTCGTGGGGGGGAGGGGAAGGAGTGTGGGGGGTGCAGGAAGAGACTGGACAAAAATCGTGCACCTATGGATGAGAACAGTGGGTGGCGGGAGTAAGGGCAGAGGGTGGGGTGGGAACTGCGTGGAGGGGAGGTATGGGGGAAAAAAGAGGAACAACTGTAATAATCTGAACAATGAAGATTAAAAAATATATATAATGGAAACAAAAAAAAAAAAAAGAACTTCACATGTGCACTTACTCAGACTACAAACTCCACCATTAAGAGTGGGACTGACTCTACCCAGTTTTCCTGGGGCTGTTCGGGAATGCTAGTATGCCTCCTGGGAAACCTCTTAGTCCTGGGAAATCTTGGAAAACTGCTACTGGAGCTGCACAGGTCTCAGTGAGGACCAGGGAAAGTAACTGGATAAACTGCAGACGAAAAAAAATAGTAGGTTCAGGCAGTAACTCGGTTCTCCCGGCTCCAGGGGATGGTAATTTCCATTAAACTAAGTGGTGACAACATAGAAATCTGAGAATGATGAGGAGAGCCCAGCTGGAGAGATCCAAGCTTCAGGCAGGGAAATCGAGACATCTTCATGCCCAGGATGTGATTTTCTTAGGTGGGAGGTCATCCTGACAGGTGGGAGGGAGCAGAGGCCACTGTTACATATTCCTCTACTCGGGCCTGGACATATTTCTGAGCTTAAATCTGAAGTATGGACTAGAACTCACCTGAGGAGTGTCTCATGGATCTTCTTAGGGAAGAAGAGCAGCTGGAGCTCAGTTACCTTGAAGGAAGCACAGAGAAAAATATTAACCTGAATACTTCTTCCAAATAAGAACAAAGGAAATGTTTTTATTGCATGAAAAGGTCAATTTCTTTGTCCTCTTATTCACTGCAGTAATTTCAACTGTATACTCTGTGACATCTTTTTAAAAATTTTAATAGTAGTGGCCTGGTGCTCGAAATTCGAGCACATTAAAAAAGAATTAATTACAGGAAATATTTTAATATTACTATTTGCCCTTTCTCTATAATTGAAGTGTCAGAGATGAAAGAAAATTAGTAAAATGTATATGAAAATCTTCCTCTTGTCAGTATGGGGTGTGCCGTGGGACTCAGAGTCAAATCCCAGCCCACCGCTTGCTCCTTGAAATTGCACAAGACCCAGATCAGCCTGCACCACCCCTGTTCAGCCTTGCCAGGAGGGGTGCTCAGCCTCAGGTCTCCCAGTGCATGCCAAGTGGGGGTGGAGCCTTAGGTCCCCAGGCCTGGGACAGGGGTGTGCCTTGAGGTCCCCCATCAAGCCCCGCTGGGTAGGGGGGCTTGGTCTGAGGTTCCCTGGCATGGCGCCAGGGCTGGGGGGAGTGGCCCAAGGTCTCCCATCAAGCTCTGCCAGGTGGGGGTGCAGCCTGGGGTTCCCTGGCCCAATGCCAGGGTGGAGGGGAGCTCTTTGAGGTCCTCTGTCAATCCCCACCAGGTTGGAGACATGGCCTGCGATCTCCCGTCAAATCCCACAGGGCGGGGGATGCAGCCTCAGGTCCCTGCTGATTGCTGGTTAAGTCTCATTACGGGAACTTAGCCTCTGCTTGGGTGCAGACATTTTGTTACAGAAACACCTGCCACTATTATGGGCACCAAAATATTTGTGATGCTCCTTTTGCATATTCCCTCTTCATTAAATAAGATATTTGTATTGATTTCAGAGAGGAAAGGAGAGGGAGGGAGAGATAGAAATATCAATGATGAGAGAGAATCATGATCGGCTGCCTCCCACACACCCTCTACTGGGGGACAAGCCCGCAACCTGAACATGTGTCCTTGACTGGAATTGAACCGGGACCCTCCAGTCTGCAGGCTGACCCTCTATCCACTGAGCTAAACCAGGTTGATTTCGGAGAGGAAAGGAAAGGGAGGGAGAGATAGAAATATCAATGATGAGAGTGAATCATTGTTCAGCTGCCTTTTGCAAGCCCCACACTGGGGATTGAGCCGGCAACCCAGGAATGTGCCCTGACTGAGAATCAATCTGTGACCTCCTGGTTCACAGGTTGATGCTCAACCACTGAGCCACGCTGGCTGGGCTGAACAACTGATTAGCTTACCAACTGTTGCTTTCAACTTAGTGGCTGGGAATGTTGCCCTGACTATGCAGGGCTTAGGAACTGACAAACACCTCAAGTGGAAACTGCACATTGAATCTAGAGCTCATTCCTGTAAGGTTCCCACTTCCATTTCAAATCTCAGACTCCATGGCTGTGGGGACCCAATATAGGATTAAAAGCCAGAAACAAGTCCCAGCTTAGAGGACACAGTCCTCTTAGCATAATCATGCTTCACCTTATAGGGCTCCTTAGATCTTACCTGGGAAGCTAATGGGCTGATGGCAGTGCAACAAGAACAAAAACAAGTGAAACTCACCAGAACAGTGTAAACAAGTGAAACTCACAAGAATAGTGTAACTTTGGTAACCACTATCTTGTTTACCTTTGACTATAAAAATAAAGGCTCAGTCTGCCTCAGGATCTTTCCCTGTGGCCTCAGCCATGCTGGGGTCCAACCCCAGCAGGTCCGGGGTCCCCAAAGGTGTGGATGGAGTCAGCAAAGTAGGAATGACACGGAGACAGCCTTCAGTTGATCAGCAGCCTAGTCAGGACCTCTAGCCAGGATCTCCAGGGAAGTTCTGGTTAGGATCTGATTAGGATCTGATGTTTACTGTCTTGTTACATCTGTATTTATACCAGTCGATTTTAATCCTGTCAATCTCTATTCCAAAGGTTAGGGCAGTTCTTATCTCCATTCCAGGGAGTAAAGATTATGTAGCTTAAGTGTGAGTGTTTGTAGTTAAAGTGATTAACTACACGCCTGGCACTTAGTTAAGGGGTTTTATCCCATCCCTAACTTCAGGGAAAAATCCCTACCTGGGAAAACAACCTTTCTTGGAGAGGTGACCTTGGTTAAAACACATAGCACCAAGAAGGTGAGCAAACATATTAAGAAAAGTATGCCATATATGCCAGGTCACTTGAAATAGCAAGGATGGACCAGCTCCCGGCAAAGACTAAAGAGAGCTACAGAGTTCTGAACGCTGTCTCTGTGTAAAACATAATTCACCAACTCCGTCCACACCTTCCGGAATCTCTGGACCCCCGGGGCTGGACCCCAGCACATGGCATCTCTGAACTCCAACTTCCTTCTTCCCAGCCAACTGAAATGCCACAAGGCCTGGCCACCTCTTTCATCTCGGTCTCTGTTCCTTGCTCTATCAGTTAGTAAATGCCCTGGGGGGAAAGCACAGGTAAATGTGGGGCTTGCCTAGGTGCTCCCACATTCTCTCCAGCAATTGCCTTCAGGTTCTGTCTGACTTGATTTTTCTCTAATACCTTCAGGTGCTTTCAGTATTTTATTCAGCTTCTCTACGATATAAGCTACACCGTCACCCGCAGATGTGGAGGTTGGATGCACTTTATGCTCATCCACAAATGTCCTAAAGCTCCAAGGTACTGACTGGTTTAGGTTTCATTCACTCCAGATTTCTGACTGTTTTCTTACCCCTTCCTTACATGCTGGGGAGCACAAGAGACTTGTTTGGAAAGTTTGTAAGGAGGACATTCTGATAAAAGGGAAGTGTGTGGGAGGCTACTGCCCTGTTTACCAGAATGCGGGGAGACTGAGAGGAGTGTCGAAGGCGGTGCCCCTAATTGTTCCCTGATCTTTGCAAATAAGTCTGTGTACATGCAGACTCCCCGGTTTTTACTGGAATCCTTATGCTGAATCCCTGGATGCTCTTGCCAAGAGGACAGTGTAAACATATGTCTTCCCAAGGATCTAAACTAATCTAACATATAAAAGCCATGAGTTTGTTTTGGTTTAATCACTTAACCTTTGGAAATTCCAAGGGAGTCATTCATGATTTTGGAAGCAGGTTAGGGGAGGACACTAAGCATACCCCTCCCCTATCACCTGTGTTTCCACGGCCACATCTAAAGCTTTCCAGGCTTCAGTGTAAGTGGGACACGATGTACCTACACACCGCTGTCAGCCAAATCCAGTGCCTATGCTGGGGGAGGGACCATGGCATGGAAAGATTACTGAATGTGTTTGGAGGAAGGGACTGTGACAGAAAAATTACAGAAAATCAATGAAACCAAGAGCTGGTTCTATGAAAGGATAAACAAGATTGACAAACCTCTAGCCAGGCTCACCAAGAAGCAAAGAAAGAGGAACCAAATAGCCTGCAAGCAGTACACAGGCTGCCAACTGTTATCTGTCTCTCAACAGAGACCAAAACCTGATGGGCACCTGCCCTCTTGGCAGCTAGGCACCCTTTACTTTTGGGGGTCACCCCACATAGTTCCCTTCCAGGACAGCCAACATACATTCAAACCTGCAAAAGAATCAAAGGTCAATATAACATATCAATACAATGAAACATAATACTGGCATCATGGCCGCTTCAGGCAGCCAAATCCTACTAAAGTCTATTCTTGACCTTCCTATGAATTGTCCTTGTCTTTTTGCAGCCATGTCCATGAAGATGCAGGCATCATCTAAGTCTATTACACAGTATTGTGGGGGCTCCCGGCAGCAGGAGTGATCGTGAGCAATGTTACCAGCATCAGGCAGGTCGAGCACGCCGTAGCTTGAGCTTGAGTGGGTTGCGTTGATCTCGATCGATGCTGCATTTGGTGACGAAGTCTTCTCAGATCACGGATGGGTCTGCTGACCGGACGTGAGTGTGATGGACCCAGGTCGAGACACCGTTTACCTTGAGAGCGGTGGGGGTCGTCAGCACCATGGTGTAGGGACCCTTCCAACGTGGCTCGAGGGTCTCCTGGTGGTGCCTTCTGTCGTAGACCCAATCTCCTAGTCTGTGCTGATGAGGAGGAGTTGGGGTTGGGCTGGTCTCGTACAGATTCTAGGGCCCGTTGCCTTCCTTTCACAGGCAGGGGGAAGGGCCCATGAAATCTCTGCCCTGAGGAACTGTGAGTACCACCCCTAAATGGCCCAATCAGACTAGAAAAGCCACAAATACCTTTTAAATCTACCCCAGAATTCCAAAATCCCAACCCAGCACAGAATATCACATAGCCCAAACAAACAAAGAGACAGAGATGTTTACTAGTTAGGTGGGCCGATTCCACCTCTGACAGAGAGCAAGCGCCCTTGGGGAAAGATCCCAGCGGCCGCTCAGGGCGTTTTGCTATCGGTCAGAGCACTCAGCCTCAAAAAAATCAAGCCTGTGGTTGTGCTAGGGTGAGGGACTGCGCCATGGAAGGGTTACAGAATGTTACAGAATGTGCTGGGAGGGGGGACTGACGTATGGGGAAGGATTGTGTTGCCAGGATATGAGGATTGTGTATGTGCTGGGAGGAGGGACTGACATATGGAGGGGGGTTGCAGGGTTAGGAACCATGGAAGAAAAATTGCTAGATTGTCTTAGACCAGTCAGGTGTGACTCTGTTTACCCCCCCTTTGTGCTTATGAACTTTCTGTGAGCTTCTAAGGTAACATTGTTTTGCTTCTAAGGTAACACTGTTTTGCTATAAAAATCAAAATGCACACTTGCTCTTTGCCACATGCTGCGAGGCTTCCCAGAGGGGGAAGGTACGGGCTGTGGTCAGCTGGCCAGCTTAATAAAAAAGGCTTTCAAATTTAAATTCGGAGTCGGTGGTCTATCTCGTTGAGCCAACCCATAACATGGTTTGTTTGTTTTTTTAGACACAAACAGAAATTTCACTAGCTAAACAATTTTCAATAAAGACAGATAACATTTCCCATTAAAAACT